CCCCTCGGTGTTTGCCATCGGGATTGGGTTTTCGTCGCTTGGCAACGACGTTGCAAAACAAGCCAATTCACCTCGTGAACTCGGCAACCAGGTTACCGTTTTTTTTTTCTTCCTCTTTTTTTTTTTGGCGGTAACCATAATGGTGGTCGAGTAGATCATGTTGTGCGGGGTGGAGAACCCTCACTCCGCGCAAGGGGGATGACCGCACCACGTTGTGTTAAAATGGTCAAGCACCCTCGAGGCAGCTGCACAGTGCTTACAACTGTCTGGAAGTGAAAGTACCAGAAAATAAATCAAGTCATACGCAGCTGTCATCCGTACGCAAGGAAGTAAGCACAAGATGCCGAACACCCTCAGCAGGATGCAGCGCACCCTTCATGCGACTCGCCGAATATCCCACGACGCTTCGCGCTTGGTGATGTGAGAGCCTGGTCCGGTGAGAACCCGGCGCGCTCCGTCCCGGCTTTGTAGGGATGCGAGGTCAATGGTCTAACGACTACGGCATGCACGACTATGAGTATGAGTACACCCCATATAGACTTGAAATTCTTTATTGCTTTTTTCGGGATTGTGCTGGCTAAAACCCCAATTGGCAATTGGGTAATTTATTAGTCAGTTTTGATTAACAATGTCATCGTCAAGCGACTCACTTATTTCACCTGGCCCCGCTGCCATTGAACCAGCCTCGTCCTGTCCGAGCGGGTGCCACAGTCCTGCATCGAAACGTTAATGTGATCGGTGGATTTCGTGCAATTGAAATCATGTGATACCAGTACCACCTACCGTCTCGACAGGGTTAAATAGAAAAACGTCCCCGAGTGACCTGAAGGCAAACTTCGGCATCGTTAGGGCAGTTCAGCAACCGCCAACTACTCTACTCGCATATCAACACGCCCAACGGGGAGTCTCCGTGACAAAAAGCTAGTGTCTATTATAGTACGCGTATCGCACGAAGGATGAGCACTCTCGAAGAAAAGCATACGATAAATACTGTTGTGCTTCTTTGGACATGGCCGATACCCAAGAAGTTGGGAGCATTGACAGAGCTGCAGGAACTCAAGTTGGGCATACAAAAAAGCTATGCTGCACATTTTTTTCTGCCCAACGCCTCTCGATTCCAGACCACCCATTTCCTTATGGCATGGGTGAGTAAGTTATCACCTACTAAAATAACAGGCGAGATGCGTAATCTAGATGACGACCACGAAGTTCGAAATAACCCTCTTCTGCTATATTCGTTCGCTACACGCCCCATCCCACTAGAGCACGGTAACCTCGCAGCAGTGGAGGGTCCTTCTTGGGTTTCGGCTGACAGCTACGACGCAAGTAGTATTGCATGCGTGGACCAGTAACAGGACTCATCCTGGAACATAATAAATTTGCCAGCTTCGTTGGTCATGCTGCAAGCCTGGGTGCTTCAGTGCTGCGGGATTCCCCAGCTCCTGCGGGATGGGGCCCGCAAGCAAGTAGCAAAAACGAATCTGAGCACGGATTTAGCGGTTTGCTGACCCCCCGCATTCTATACAAGATGGAACCCATACTCACTCACCCACACAGTTGATGGGACACATGTCCAACAATACCAGGTACCATGTATTTACTGAACACAGCACATTTGGTGCTCTGCCTCCAGGCTCGATTCCCGAGGCGCTGGGAGCTCTCCTCAACTTTGAGACATTTGTCAGTTGTCTCATCGGCAAGACGTGGCCACTCTGTGTACCTTTCTTTTTCGTTGCTTGGTCGTGTTTAGAAAGGTGCTACGTTGGGTTCTAGAAGCTTGCTCGCCAACGCATACGCGGGATTCATGCATGTTCAGAACTCGAAGGAACATATAAT